CACACGTATTGCCGTGCGAACACTTTCATGCGCACAATACCCGGATGTCCCTCATGTAGCAGGTACATAACGCGTTCTCTAGCTGCAGTTGGCACGATCACGCGAGATCCCCAAAGTATGCATCCATCCTGTATGGATAGCTCATCACGTCTAACATAGTATGGCAACAGTTCACCATCCTTCTTCGACTCCGGCCAACCATGTCTAACCAGACGTCTCACCCTGGACAGTACAATGTCTTTATCCGTCATAGTCCGTACCAGTTCCACATCCACTGGTGACGAATCCATGAATTCCAGTAAACAAACCGTCTCTGCAGGTGTTGGTACTTCTCGCACCGTGGTAGGCAACGGCAACCTACTCATGGCATCAGCGTTTGCCATTTTCGCCCCAGATTTGTACTTCAACTCATACTGATAAGCGCTTAGCATCAGCCCCCATCTCTGAATTCTACCTGACGCTAACGGTGGAATTGGCTTCTGTTCACCGAGCAAACTCTCAAGTGGCTTATGGTCACTCAGAATACCAAACGCACGTCCGTACAAATAACAATGAAAGTACTTTACAGCCCACACGATCGCTAATGCCTCCTTCTCCAGTTGAGAATAGTTCCTTTCAGCGGCGGCTAACGTACGTGATGCAAAACTAATCGGACGCTCCGTCCCGTCGGGTAACCTGTGCGCTAGCACAGCCCCAACCCCGTATGGCGAAGCATCGCAAGCAAGTATTAGTTCCTTGTCTGGATCATAATGAACCAACACAGACGCGGATTGTAGCAATTCCTTGGAGCGACGGAACGCAACATCCTGTTCGTTACCCCACACAAACCGATTGTCCTGCTTAAGCAGCCTGTGCAACGGTTCAAGTTCCGTAGATAAGTTCGGCATGAACTTTGCATAGTAATTCAAGCAACCAAGGTAGCTTCGGAGCTCCTTGACATTCTTTGGCTGTGGTGCCATTGCAATAGCCTTGACTTTCTCAGCTACAGTATGCAGACCATCAGCACTGATCTTGTACCCAAGATAGATCACTTCATCGGCCATGAAGATGCACTTGGCCCGGTTTAATCTCAACCCAACCTCAGCCAATCTCCGTAGAACTTCCTCCAAGTTTCGCAAATGCTCCTCGTCATCGCGACCGGAGATGAGTATGTCGTCTAATCTCGCGACTACAAACGGAGTATCACCCACCAACTGATCCATGATCCTTTGGAAAATTGCGGGCGCCGAACTTACCCCGAAAAGTAAACGGTTGTACCGAAACAACCCTTTTGCCGTATTGATTGTTACGTACTTCTTAGACCCTTCGTCCAGTTCAATTTGGAAGTATGCCTGACGCAAGTCAAGCTTGGTGAATTTCTGCCCACCTGAGAGTTTAGCGTACAAATCTTCCACTCGGGGAAGGGGATACTTCTCCACACGTGCATAACGATTTACAGTAACTTTGAAATCTCCACAGATGCGAACGCTTTTGTCCGGCTTAACGACTGGAACGATCGGAGCTGCCCAATCGGAGAATGGTACAGATTCGATGATACCCTCTCTCTCGAGTCGATCTAACTCGGTGTCTACTTTCTCACGTAAGGCATAGGGTACGTTCCTAGCCTTGAAGAACTGCGGTTCTGCGTCAGAATCCACTTGCACATGTCCCTTGACCCCTTTCAAGGTACCGAGGCCGTCCTCCATCACCTCTGGATATTTCTCAAGAATTTCCTGTACGCACGTTACACGATTTATCGCACCCCTGGACCCCTGTGCCGAACCAGAACCACTGCGACACACCTTTTTCCAATCGAGCTTTATTTCACACAACCAGTCTCGCCCAAGCAACGACGGACCGTTACCCTGCACGACCAACAATGGCAATTCATGCCTTTGCCCATTGTATTCAACCTGCACCACACACGTACCTGCTATCGCCAACGGTTCTCCCGTATATGTACGGAGCGTACAGGCAGTAGGATTTAACTGCACCCATTCTGCCAGTAGTTCTCGGTACGTACGTTCACTGATCAATGTCGCGGCTGCCCCAGTATCGATCTCCATCGCTACGTCGACTCCATTTATCGTCATCTTTGACATGAAAGCCGGTGTACTGCGCGAGTTTGCCCTCGTCCCGGGCCGAATATGGTACAAATGACTATCGTAGACCTCCTCACCTGACGGCACCTCCTGCGGCGGCGCACTATCAGTTCCTTGGACATTATACACTCGTCCCTTTTGACCATAACCCTTTTTCCTGGGTGTCTGCGATGAGGTAGACCCTGACTTGGAATTATCAGAGTTCGATGCCCACGTACTACGACACACTCGCTTTAAGTGTCCTTTCTTGTGACATTTACTACATTCAGTATCCTTATGTATACACGTGTCTGCCTTATGATCGGGTTTGCCACACCGATAACAGTAAGTCGTCGTAGGCTTCTGCCATGTCTGCTGACTGCGAGGCTTACCCCCACCTGCAGGTTTTCGCGAGACGAATTGCACTTTGTTGTCCTGTTTGGCCGCTGCCCCAATCAGTTCCCTGCAGTCCTTTGCCGCAGTTTCCATAGAATGAGCAACCTGCACTGCCCGATCAAAGGTTAATTCCCTTTCCGCCAACAGTCTTCGTTGAATGGCCTCCGCTTTCAACCCAACCACGAATTGATCACGCAGTCGTTCCAATAGCGTCGTCCCAAATTCGCAATGGGTACTCAGGCGCTTCAATTCAGTTACGAATTGCGAAATATTCTCAGAGTCCCTCTGTGTTCGCTTCATGAAGCGAAACCGTTCCACGATTACCAATGGTCTTGGGTCGTAATGTTTCCGCAGCAGATCAATCAATTGATCCACAGTTTTAGTCCTAGGCAAGTCCGGTGAACACATGGATTTCAATACACCATATGCACTGGCTCCGATGATGGCTAGAAAACTTTGCACCTTCACATCATCCTTGATTCCATTGGCCTCCATGAACAGGTTGACCCTTTCAGCATACTGGTCGAAACCCTCAGCATCAGCCTCATATGGCCCCACAGCTCCAATCATAGTAGTAGCCATAATCAGTAAAATTGCAGCACCGTTTAGCAAATTACACAGCGCGGCAGTCCTCCCCTGCAACAACATGGACACCATCCGAATGTACACGGCGATGTACAGCACTCATGCCTTGCTGTGCGCGCAACGCATCGACAGGAATTACACCCATCGTTTCGTTCACTTTTATCGCAGAGTATCATAACCGAATCTCACGTTAAAGCGGACGATTTTTTAAGTCCTAACGCCATCCGAGACATGTAAACTTCCAAAGACACCCATAAGTTCTTTAAGGCCCCTATATACCGAAATGAATGGATCGTCACAGGGGTGGCCAGTATAGGGAGAGTTGACTGTGGGAGGTTACGCAGGATTGATTGTTATCTGTGATGTCTGTTACTTAAAGAATGCACAAGAATATAAAAGTGAAATCTTTCTCAAGCAGTTTCTGATGAATCTCGGGCGAAGACAGCGTGATATATGTCTGCCCTAATATGTGATGTTTATACGTAAAAAATATTCATACCCGTTCGTTGAGAGGCAGATCGTACTGTGAAGATTCAGATTTAAGATTCTATAGATTTATATAGTGAACATATATATTTTTTCTGCAATGGGAGAATACGTTGCGCAAGTGCACAGCATAGAATAGCAAGGCTTGTGAGTTGTGGCGGTGCAAAATGCTAATAAAGCTACTTCACGTGAACACATTTGTTCAGGATGTTCTCACTGCAGTCTGTCCTCTAAGAGTTTCAGCTAAGAGCAATTTCATTAGCTTTTAATTTAATTAGAAGTTGGCTGTGCGTCTTTACTTGTAAAACACATAGCTAGTACAGTGTTTAGCAAATAAAGGCTCACCATGGTTCCCGCAAAAGTGTGAATTATTTTTTCAAGGACATTTCACGGACAATCTGTGACAAGTAGTTTTAGCTTTTTAGAATCATCGTATATAACTTAGATTCATATATAAAGTAAAAATAGTTGTTTTACACGAGTGCCGACCGCTGATTAAACAGCCGCTATAGCTCGCCGATTACCGACGTACACAATAGTCGCTTCATATTGTCATTCACGTAGATTCATGTGACGGTCCTGTGACAATATAATAATGTAAAGCTTTAATGTAACATGAATCACTCAGAACTATGTATCACACAATGTACTGTATCACTCAGAATTTTTTTTATTTTTACTGCTCAATTCACTATTGCATTCATCAGAATTTTTCTTCAGTACATGTATTTGTAGTTGAATTACATGAAATAGAGATTTAATAATAATAATAATAAACAGTTGCCGGTTCTTTATGCTGACCTATAATGTATATAATATATATATAAGAAAAGCAAATTCCGACGTGGGGTTCGTACGCCGGTTTCATAGATAGCAGTTTAGCGTTCTAACCACTGCACTAACAACACATATACGCGTAGAAGTACGTAGTTTAACGTAGATGAACACGTCATTACATACATCACTTCCTTACTCCCCTCTTGCGGATGGTATCGCCCACGACCAGTCAAGCATGGAAAAACATTTGCAGGTAAACGGCCGTATTTCAGCCGAAACATTTTCATTCCCCGAGGCACAAAATTTGAATTTACGCCTATAATACGCGCGCACGCGTGCGTGCAACCATACCCGCGTGTGCGCGCCCGGTCGCGTGTGTGTATGTGTGCTTGAGTGACTGTAAAAACGCGTATTATAGCCGTATATCCACATTTTGTGCTTTGGAGGGATGAAAAAGTTGCATACTGAAAGACCAGTCATTATGCCTTTGTTAACTTCTTCACCGTGAAACTGATGCGCGTGGGCCGATACTTACCCGCGAGAGGCGGAGGGTAAATACCTGAGGGGGAGAGTGAGAGGAGAGGTAGAATAGTCCAGCGGCTAAGGCCCGAAATAGTGGCAGGAATATTTCAGCTTTTTGGAGAAGAAATTATGAAACTTGGCACATACGTAAGGCGGACCCCCAGTGGGTGTCCATTTTTCGATTGAGACCAACTCGAAAACGCCCCCTGCGTGGCCGCCATCTTGAATTTCGATATGGGCCGCCAGGCTTGACATGACTTCTTGCTATCATCTTCAAAGCATTAAGGCAGATAGAAATGTAATTTTAGTCGGCTAAACCCCCCATTTTAGGGTCAATGGAATTCAGTGAAACCATATTATGAACATCAGGGTGTCGCGCCATATTGGATTCAAGATGGCCGCTATTTAACATAAGTTGACTATAACTTTGCCGAACTAAGAGATAGAAAGATGTAGTTTCTAGTAAGCTAAGCTCCCCCGTTTTCAGGGTCAAGGAATTCAAGTGAAACTATTTTTATGAACGTCGGACGTGTCCGCCATCATTACATTCAAGATGGCGCGCTATGATAAAACATAATTGACCTATAAAACTTGGAAAACTAAGGCAGCATAGAAAGTGCAATCTAGTGGGCCTAACCGCAATTTCAGGGTCGCGATGGAATCCAACGAAATAAATATTATAAACATTAGGATTCCTGGCCATATTGGATTACGCAGATGCAAACAGGTTTTAGTAACAACTTTATTAATAAATGTAACTTAAAAATGTGGATGGGCAGGGACGCTTTAACCCCAGTCAGACATTGCGCTGCAGGCCACCTGTGAAGCGATTTTTGTGCTCCCATGTGGACTAAGACCCCGCGTGGCACATCAAGGGACTGCTGCCAAGCTTTGTATAGTTACAGCAGAAGGCATACCTTAATCTAAACAGATGGAAAACAGTAAAGAATAGTCAGGGCAAACCAGAATGGAATCTCAGCAGAGTGGTGTGCTGAGAGTGTCAGAAAAGTACCCGCAGTTTTATTTTTGGCAGACAGTGTTAGACTTTGAACTAACGATTTTCCAGTTTGTAAGGTCCCTGGCGAGTGTCAGATTTTGACCTGTGACATTGGCCATCCGCAGCACCGATTTTGATACCCTGGTTCTTTGCATATGGACCACCCAACTATGCCCGCTGGTTAGCGCGGTCCATGTGCGAGGTATTTCACCTTAGAAGAGGAGAGCGCCAAATTGTCGTTTCGCTGAGTTCTCACGTAAGGAATCACTGCCAACAAGACAAGCCGACCATTCTCTGCCAGTTTCGCTGGACCATGCAACACGAACAGGTAAATGCACTAGTTAAGAGTGCGGGTGGAGCAGTTGGGCTAACTAAAAACCCCGGAGCACTTAGGTCATGGATGGTAGCTGGAGCCTTGAAGACTAGCAAGACTAGTTGAAGAGTTTGAGGATGCGTTGGACGACAGTGGACAGCAAATACCTCTGACTCGCCACTGCACGGAACAGATTAAGGCGTCCAGGCAAAATTTGTCCAAGATGTACAGTCACTGGTGGCCACAATGAAGAGATGGGCAACCCATTTCATGGAAGAGAGCATGATTGCCTTAAAATCTCAATCAAAGCCATCATGCAGAGAAAGTTGTAAAAGCCATGAGGAATGCTCCATTCACGTGGGGAAGTCTAAATATGACGGGATTTCGTGATGAGCGCTTAAAGTCCAATTCGAAATCAATTCGAGACAACCATCTGGCTATGTTCAGCAAGCGTTGGCGTCGAAAAGACAAGACAGCAGGGAGGTTTGGTTGAGCTAGAGAATGAACAGGGCTCTGTTTCAAGGTTGTAACATTCCAGTCAACGGAGATGGTTGATTATTGCATGAATTCTTCAGGCAATTGAAAACCAGTCACTCCACCGTCACTCGCAACGGGAGGTCAGCTGCAACAAGGTGACAAGCCATAGCTTTTGACTGTCTCGAAGGAAATGTGACAATTATATAATGTCCTTTCGCGTAGTCAATGCTAAAGTCGTTGACCGGTCATGCAGTGTTCACTTTCTGGTGGCCTGGGTACCTGTGGCAACCTTCGAGGATTATGCTGCAGGAGGTCTTCCTGCGCATATCTGTTGAAGGAACTGGAAATGCCAGTCGAATTGAATATCGTGGGGATGTTTATCGTCCAGACAAGTTTGAAAAACGCAACAAGGAAGTAAACGAGGTTGTGGTATTCAGACGTCGTGCTAAACTTCACCACGAGAATTCCAGGCAAACTGGCCAGGCCTTCCTTCGAAACTAATGACAACAACAGGAATTTGTTTCCAATTCCTTGCGCCAGAAATGTGAGGATCATGAAACTGAAGATGACAAGGGCAATCATAAGCACGCCTGGGCGATACAGTTGTGTGCTTCATCCAAAGATGCTGTACACTTCAATGCTTGTCCGTTGGCTACATGAAGAAGCAGACTTCGAGATTTTTGTCCAGTTAATGAGCATTGGCTTCGTCAGGGAACACAAGTGATGATCGCGCACTGTTGACCTGATGTGGTGGTCATAGCTGTTACTAAATTCTTGGAAATTGTCTGGATAAATTATGCGGTTGCTTCGGAACTGGTAAGAACTAGCATAGCATTATAGGCGTACCCAGATAGTCGCAGTATTGGGCCAGAGAAGTCACAGCACTGGCATTTTTTATGCCATTTTACAGGCTGTGATACATGTCCTTGGCAGGCATACCCTGATGCTACAGACGCATTCCAAGCATTGTGCTGTCTCACCTGCTGACGTCGCGAAAGACTGTATGGACATACTGGAGCGATTTCGTCAGTCTTGACTTTTATGAACCGCCACCCAGTGACCTCAAGTCCGTAGAATACCGCAAGAGCCTACCTGTTTTCCAAGAAGTCAAGGGAGGAATAGAAATATCCCTGCCTATGCGGCAGCTCTATTGAACGACACCAGAAGAGAGCTGCATTCAAGCAGGCCACATTATGGGGTCAACCTTAGTCACGCAACCCAGATGTTCCATTGCGCAGCTGACTGGGGTTGGGAAAGCGCGTGATGGAACTATGGCAGGTGATGATGGACCTTACTTCCTAAGCAGCCAAGGCGCTTGGCTACGAGCTAATAGGCTGGCAAGTGCCAAGAAGACGCTGCGCCCAGGCAAACTGCAAATGTTACAGGGCCAGCCCTCCAGTGCACGTCCACTATGCACCTGGTCGACGCGACAATGTTATGAACTAAACTGTGAGGTACAAGTGCCATACCAGCTTTAAACAAGAATAGCAGGGGCAGTCATCTTGTTTGTTGTTTGTTGTCGATGTTGAGGTGACATTTCCATTAACAAATCTTGGGATGCTAATAAAAAAGATTTACTTATGCATCCAAGTTGCTCTTGATGCCTCATGCCTCAAACATGCTATCGAGAATTCCATAAGAGATAGAGTTTACATTATTAATGAACTTGTTTAATTGATAATGTATCATACATTATACCACTTAAAACCTGTTGCACTTGTGTAGTATGGCAGCCAGCCTGGAAACCAATATGCGCAGAATCGCTGATGTTTATAATATTTATGTTCGTTGGATTTCTCGGACCCTGAAATTGCGGGTAGGCCACTGGAATTGATCCTATCTGCCCTTAGCTTTCAAGTTATTAGTTATAATGTATTTTTAAGTCATAGCGGCCATCTGTTGGATCTATATGGCGGACATCTGACGTTCATAATAAAGTTTCACTGATTCCTTGAGCGCCTGAAAAACGAGGGGTTACGCTACTGAAACTACATTTCTATCCTTCTTTAGTTCAAGGTTAATAGTCATTACGTTTATCATACGCCCATCTGGCGAATCTAAATATGGCGGACATCTGACGTTCATAATAATAGTTTCACTGATTTCCTGAAAACGGGGGTGTTAGCTATAAAGCTACATTTCTAATCTTCTTTGATTCAAAGTTATAGTCAATTATGCTTATAATAGCGGCCATCTTGTGAATCCAATATGGCGGACACCCTGAATGTTTATAATAATGGCTTTCACCTGAATTCGCTTTGACCCTAAAAATTCGGGCGGGTAAGCCATAAAATTTACATTTCTATCTGCCTTAGCTTTGAAAGATATAGGGCAAAAGTATGTCCAGCTCGCGCCTATCGCAAATTACAGATGGCGGCACACAGGTGCAGCGTCTTTCACCGAGGTAGGTCCCAATTCGAAAAATGACCCCACTGGGTCCGGCCTACGTTATGTGCCAAGGTTTCATAATTTCTCCAAAAACGTGCAATATTTTTTTCACTTAGCCGCGTGGACTAGAAGGAAATAGGAGAGAAAGGAGGAGGAGAAGAATGCATGCGGAGTTGTGCACACGCATGCGCAGTCAAACGCGCAGACAAACGCAAGTACGGCACAAACGGCACACACAGGCACGGATGCACACATTCCTTCTAATATAGTTAATTCACGTCGCCGTCCCGCTCACCTTCTCTCTCCGTGACTCTCCATCTCTGACCTCTCCCTCTCCCTCTCCGTGACTCTCACCCTCTCCCTCTCCGTGACTCTCACCCTCTCCCTCTCCGTGACTCTCATCCCTCTGCCCGTCTCCGTGACTCTCACCCTCTCCCTCCCGTGACTCTCACCCTCTCCCTCTCCGTGACTCTCACCCTCGTCCCTCTCCGTGACTGCTCACCCTCTCCGCTCTCCGTGACTCTCACCTTCTCCCTCTCCGTGACTCTCACTCTCACGCCTCTCCCTCTCCGTGACTCTCACCCTCCCCCTCTCCGTGACTCTCACCCTCTCCTCTCCGTGACTCTTCACCCTCTCCCTCTCCTGCACTCTCACCCTCTCCCTCTCGTCCGTGACTCTCACCCTCTCCCTCTCCGTGACTCTCACCCTCTCCCTCTCCCGTGACTCTCACCTTCTCCCTCTCCGTGACTCTCACCCTCTCCCTCTCCGTGACTCTCACCCTCTCCCTCTCCGTGACTCTCACCCTCTCCCTCTCCGTGACTCTCACCCTCTCCCTCTCCCTCTCCGTGACTCTCACCCTCTCCCTCTCCGTGACTCTCACCCTCTCCCTCTCCGTGACTCTCACCCTCTCCCTCTCCGTGACTCTCACCCTCTCTCTCTCTACCCCTCTCTATCTATCCCTCTCTCTACCCCTCTCCCTCTACCCTTTTCTCTCTACCCCTCTCTCTCTAACTCCCCTCTCTGTCTACCCCCTCTCTCTCTCTCTACTCCTCTCTCTGTGTACCCATTTCTATGTACCCTTCTCTGTTTCTCTTTCTGTACCCCTCTCTCTCTTTCTCTCTGTACCCCTCTCTCTCTTTCTCTCTGTACCCCTCTCTCTTTCTCTCTCTGTACTCCTCTCTCTTTCTCTCTGTACCCCCTCTCTCTGTGTACCCCGTTCTCTGTACCATTCTCTCTCTCTTTCTCTCTGTACCACTCCCTTTCTCTCTGTACTCCTCTCCCTTTCTCTTTCTGTACCCCTCTCACTTTCTCTATGTACACCTCCCTTCTGTACCCATCTCTTTCTATCTCTGCCCCTATCTATATATCGATTTAATGAAAAATAAAAAAATAATCATAAATATAAACTACTCACGTAGTAAGTCTCGGGGGAGATAAAATGATCCGTTAGAGGCGCCACCATCCAATGACTTATATAAGGGAATGCTATGTTGAATTTTGACATCCTAGCGCCATTTAGTGTTTAAAATAATTATAAAGTGAGCATATAAGGAATAACCCAGATATATGGAATAGGCGTAAACCAGATGGATATATCAATTTTTCTCTCTTTCTCGGGCGCTATATGTCCTATATGTTCACATGTATTAGTGTGTTTGTGTGACTGTAAAAACGCGTATTATAGCCGTATCTTGTGCTCTGGGGGGTGTGTGAAAAAGTTGAGGCTGAAAACCAGCCATTTGCCTGAATAAAATTCGCCGCGCTGTCGTAATGGTAGACGATTACAACATTTGGGAGAGGGGGATCACTTATTCCCGAAAGAATAAAACCTGATAGGATAATAGAGCAGCATATAAATAAATAGACATATCCGATATACATAGATAGAATACCAGATATTGAATGAAAAGGTATTATGTATTGGTATTTTATTAGTTTTTCGTGATGGTCGATTCTACACGATACATCATTACTGATATGTTCTCAGTACATGGATCCAACAAGTGTGAATTATTTTTTCAAAGTCTTGGCCATATTTTCAAGGACTTTCAATATGACAAAAGTAAAAATTAAGGACTGTGGGGACCCGGCTTGCTAAAGCAAATCCATCTCATGAATTTCGTTAATTAATTGAAAGACCAGCCGAAGCCGAGTAGAATATTCTAGTGACGATTATTTTACGACACCACCACCAACAACAACAACAATAACAACAACACTAACAGTCATCTCTTCGCTTGGCCAATACTATTTATTTACTCGGCGTCCGTCCCTCTCTCTCTCTCTCTGTACAGTAAATCGTGGCTGCGCAACGCATTCATTAGTGGCCCTGGGTCTTCTGCAGCAGTCTCCTGTCTCTCTCCTCGGCGATCTTCAGCTTGACGCCGCGTCCCCGTGGCAACGACACGTAAGCCTTGTTCCCCTTGCCGATGATGAAGACGTTGCTCAGTCTGAAACGCAGATAGATAGAAACATGATAGCGCTTGAAGAGTGAGAGTGAGAGAGTTAGAGTAAGAGAGAGAGAGAGAGAGACATGATCTATCGCGCGTGACGAAAGAGTGAGAGAGAGAGAGAGAGAGGGAGAGCGTTAGAGAGAAAGAGAGAGAGAGGGAGAGAGTTAGAGAGAGAGAGAGTGAGAGTAAGAGAGAGAAGGAGAGGGAGAGGGAGGGAGAGAGGGAGAGAGAGAGAGAGAGAGAGAGAAAGTTAGAGAGAGTGAGAGCATAGAGACAGTTTGCCGATTGCTGCGTGAAGCGAGTGAGCACAAAACCGCATAACCACATAAACAAACCGAATGCCTGGAAAAACTGCGCGTAAGGGCCAGTCGACGAAGGAAACACCGAAAGCATGCTTTACGGACAGCCGGTCATTCTATAGACGTGGTTTCGCCGTATAACTGCCACCGAAATAAGAAGTGCCGTCCTTTATAGACAGGTGTCGGATCTATAGACGTAGTTTCACTGTGTTTAGCTGTGTCGTTTGCTAATTAATGCACAAAGATTTAACGAAGTACACCAATAATATTCTAACGTTCACTTTGATAGCACAGGGGTCGAGGGAGCATATCAAGAAGTAGCACTTATTTCGCGCTATGTGCCCTATTGCCCTAAAGACCCTTCAATGTTCCTTTTCACAGCACAGAGAGATATGTAGAAACTGAACCCGCGCTAACTTTGACCTCCTGTAACGTCGCATCGCTTCCCTCCGCGCCCCAATTATTCAAGGACACTTCCAGGTAGTCAAAGCACAGAGGGATATGTAGAAACTCAACCCACGCTAATTTCAACCTCCTGTCCTCACACCCCTTCCCCGCTCCCTCCGTGCCACAGCCGCGCTGCCCTGCCCTGCCCACGCACCATCTCAGTTTTTAGTATTTGCGTTGTAATCAGCCTCCATGAGGAGTCAGCGGATTGACAGATAAAATACAAGTCATCATCGATGGTGTGCGGGGAAAACTTCGGCGTCGGCCGGGGCGACGAGAGCACGCTCGGTCATCGCGAAATACCCACCCACTCCACCTACTGGACGCAGTTAGAAACACCTGCCACAATAAGTATCACGACCCGCCCCCTACACCCACCTATTCTACGCAAAATCAACAGCTACTAGTCTATCACTGCCAGCAACGACTCGGACGACACATGTCCCGATGTTACCGTAGCAACCCCCACCCCTTACGATTTAAAGCGCGTGCATTCTAGGACTGCCCACGATCTTTGCATCCGGATCGAACCCTCGCCCCCGACCCTTTTCCTGAGCTCTGAGATTCGTCACCAGGAACAGCTACGACTACCAATACTACAATCTAAAATCTCTCTTCCTTCGCACGTCACTCTTCGTCACATCTTCGCCCAACGACGTCGCGACCGCTCGAGTTACCGGTGACGGACCCCCCTCCGGTCGCCACGACGACGGTCGCTCACGACGACGGTCGCTCACGACGACGGTCACCACGACGACGGTCGCTCACGCTCACCTGGTGGCGAAGGAGTTACCGGCGCTGTCCTTGATGTGGCAGATGTCGAAGGATCCGAGATGACGGTCCCTGTGCGTTACGGTGCCGACGCGCCCCAAGTTACGACCGCCGGTGATCATGCATAGGTTACCTGCAAGCGAGCGGAGACGGACGTATTAGGGAAGGTATTAATTAGTCAATTAATTAGATTGATCTCATTTAATTGATTCGATTAACGCGCCCAGACGGAGCTTTATTGAGGTATGAAGGCAGAAATAATTTTATACGTAATATGTTCTACGTTAATACAGTAATACACGTTATACCAGGGGTAGAAATTAATTTTTGAACAAGGGAGAACCTTAAAAAGAGGGAGTCCGCAGTCTGAAGTTCAAAACTAAAACATAACAACAATAACACATGCTTATTTTGAAGATTCGTGCGATGCACGTCTGCCAAATTTTCTTTGGATAGTTGCTGAGAAAATACGGTAATTCCGTGAGGCCATGCTCTGCAACGAACTAGTTAGTATAGCAGAATTTTCAGGGAGTCACACGGACTCCTGCATATGTCAAATCAGGGAATCCGACAGAAAATCAGGGAGTATTTGACTCCGGACTCGTGACACAGTTTACCACGTGTAAATCTTTACTGCCGTTACTCTCCAATCAATTTTACTAACGATTACTTTAACGATAAAACCCGCAATTGCGAATACGTGCCTTGACTTACTGAAGCAGTAACAGGCATTAGAAGCAACTGAATAGATTTCATAGATTTGATAAAGCAATCCACGCTAGCCCATTAAAAACCAATCGACAACATGATGCGAGTAACGTAATGGAATGCAACCCTGTTCAGATTATAAACGTTTTGTCCGCAGGAGTAAATCGGAGCCCAATGCTATCATCACTACAGACCTTGCATTCGTACGAGAAAAATACGCTCCATTGTTAACCAACGGCTACCCATTGTCACCGTTATTCTCATTAACTGTCGTCTTATATATTGTAATAAATATATGCAATCGACATAAAATACATCTTATACATGAAACTATAACTTAAAAGAACCTCTTTTAAGGGTGGTAATTTGTTTCGTAGACCGCTGATAGAAACCCAGTGAAGTTCGCAGAGGTCTGGTCTACGAGGAAAAATCTATGTTAAGACTAATTTTGATTCTGACAACGAGGGGCGCTGAGCGATACGTATTTTATGTCGATTCCATATATTTATACTTGCAGCATCGACAGCCGCATCGACATCCAATCAAGTCGCATCAAACGACGACAGTTACCGAAAACAACGCGCCGCGCAGCAGCCCCCGATGTTCCGGGAAAGCTCCGTGTCGCATTGTACAGCATTCGACCACGCAGGTTGCATAAGGCCGGCACACACGTGAGTAATTTTACTCAAGTAAAATGATGCATGCGTTAAAATACTCACGTGTGCGGCGGATTTTCGTTGAGTATTTTGACGCATGCATCATTTTACTTGAGTAAAATTACTGACGTGTGCGCCAAATTTATTTTTCGGGGGCTACTTTTCAAGCTCGCGTGCATGAAAATAGCACTCTGAAATTTGGTTTGCATTGAACTCTATGCAAATTTCCGGGGGCTCTTTTTGGCATTTCGGGAGCTAAATCGCCCCATGTATTTTTCCCACTGATAGACAGTTACCGAAATTAACTCGACGCGCGCGACTCACCCGTGTCGAACTTGATGTAATCCTGGATCTTTCCGGAGGCGATGTCGACCTTGACGGTGTCGTGGACCTTGACGTTGGGATCGGGGTAGCGGATCGTGCGGCCGTCGTGCGTCACGATGAACGGCACGCCCTTCGGCCCCACCTCCAGTTTCTTCACCTTGCACAGCTTGTACTGCGGAAATAACGATCAGATTAATTATTAGATTTAAATATTACTAAATTTTTAACATTTATTTTTATATTGAGAGGCTATAAATTTAGAGGGAAGATCCAAGGTAAAAAAAAACATACCGAAATTCTAGGTTACCGTGGCTTTCGCCGAAGGGGGGCACCGTGGGAAACGCGAACACGCCGCAAATAAATCCTCAACGAATTACTCTCTAGTAGAGGAAATCGCGCCCGCGTCGTTCCTGTACTCCCTCTGGGTAATGCCGAGTCCGCCACTTTACGTTGGAAGGCGGTCCAGCGACCGTAGACAAGGAGAGATGATGTCGGCTGCGGTTTGACCGCCGACGGCCAGAGGGCGCCGCCGGCGGCTTCGACGAGCCAATGTCGCGTCTCGAACGGGGCGACGTGCCCCGGGGGGATTCATCACTACCGTACACGCTCACTGCTTCGTTTTTGGCAACAATTGTTATTCAATTTTGGTCAATAATTGTCATTAGGCATGTGTGGTAACAATTGCCTTGTAATTTTAGTCAATATTTGCCAATAATTTCGGTAGCAATTGCCATTAAATGTCGTTCAATAATTGCGCAGCATCCTTCTCCCACTTCTCACCAACTACCGCACCCGCCGCTCGCGCGACGCCGAGGGAGCTGGTAGCGCCACCTACCGCTGCCTCCTGCGCAGTGATCCTGTGGACGGTGAAGCGACCCTTCACGTCGTAGATGAGCCGGAAACGCTCGTCCGTCTTCTCAATGGTGACGACGTCTGTGCGGAGACGAGAAAAAGATAACGATCAGTACAATACGAGAGGGAGAGAGGCAAAGAGAGAGAGAGAGAGATGTGGGGGCTAGGTGCACAATACGCACGCACACAGGCGAGAAACCTTTCAGGTGTGTTGGGTTGTTAGAGTTAAGGTTAGTGTTACTGTTAGGGTTAGGTTTGATTAGAGTTAGTGTTAGATGTGGTTAGGGTTAGGGTTAATAACGCAACCTCATCATAAGTTAATGATGTATGATGATGGTGATGATGATGATGATGATGATGATGATGATGATGATGATGATGATGATGATGATGATGATGATGATGATGATGATGATGATGATGATGATGATGATGATGATGATGATGATGGTGGTGACGACCCTATGTATGCACAATGGGGTCGATAACGATCACGACCGCCCAACTATCGTCTAACCAACCTGCCTCTCCTCTCACAGATGCAAGGAGACAGAGTGTGGGAAGGCGTTTGCAGCCAGCCACCACCTGAAGACGCACGTCCGCACGCACACAGGTACCGTATCCGTGGCAACGTCTGTTTCCATTTCATTCCATAAGAGTGCGCCTTTAAATAGTACTGGGGGGGGGGCACTTCCCCAATATATCATTCCAGGGTAGGCACCCCTTCGTCAAATTTATAGCCAACAGGAACACCCCTTCTTTAAGTCGTGCTAGTGAATTTGTGCGAGTGAAATTGTGTTTACAGAACCATGATACAGTCACGAGTGCATCGGATGCAGGTTTACTCAAATTTTGCAGGAGAGAAGCCGTACACGTGCAAGCAGGACGGATGCACGCGCGCGTTCGCCACGCACTACAGCCTGAAGAATCACCTCTACCGACACCTGAACTCCCTCAGCGAGCAAGGATTGTTAGTCAGCAGCAGCGAGGTAAGGAGAGAGAGGGAGAGAGAGAGAGAGAGAGAGAGAGAGAGAGAGAGAGAGAGAGAGAGAGAGAGAGAGAGAGAGAGTCGATGTAGGTGTGCGGCGCACACCTACGATAATTTCTGCAAGGTGAATGTCATGTGACACGGGCACGTTCAGCTATTGGCTGTTCAATATTTATCGCACACGATTTTCCTGAGGTCACGCGCACACCACAAAATCGCGTCCAAATAATTGGTTCAAAATCAAACATATTTGATTTTGGAACGATCACCCGATAACAATAAAATCGTCTACAAATGAACGCGCACACCTACATCGTTTCATCGCTTCATCGCTTCATCGTTTGTAAAAATCGGCTGGTGTGCGGCGGCCTTTAGCAGTGATACCGGACGGGAAATGCTATCCCCTGGGCGTGGAGGGACAGTACCGCAATGTGGCAGCACTAGTGTTAGGATTAGGGTTAGGATCAAGGTTAGGGTTAGGGTTAGGGATATAAGGCCATGTCTAGTACGGAAGTATGACTGTGGAATCTTTCTGTGGAAGATTTGGACTTTGAAGTATACGTCAACTGTATCACGTGACTGTCCCTCCACGCCCGGGGGATAGCAACACCCATACCGGACAGTGCACGCGCGCCATCTATCCAGCGATTAGTAAATGGCGAACCCCATTAGAAATGCACATGCTATTGGAAAAAGCGGCAGGTCCTACACCAATTACGGTCAAGCTGCTGCCAGCTTGACAAGGCCAAGGGGTTAGATGTCCGGCAGCACTTACCTCACTGACAAGCCTGCCAGAGGTTCCTTACGGCGATAGCCAATACAAGGCGCCGGGAACAGTTTGTAGCTATAATGAGGCAAATTCCTTGCTGTGATAAGTGACGGATCCACAGATTCCTCATCAAAGGAGGCCGAAATTTTATTTTCGAATTAAATTTTTTTAAATTTAATTTTAATCTTATGATCCATATCAAAGTTACATGTATTTTATACAATTGAATATCTTTTTACAAAACCTTTTGGGGACACCCCTTGTACCCTGGGAGATACCCCCTTTATTCCCTAGCAGAAGGGGGGCTCCACCCCCCTACCCAACCTACCTCCTAGCAAATCACAATGCTCGTCGCTCTGCGCCTAGTAAGAGTCCTTCGGCAGGACTAGTAGAATCTTGGAAGGACTAGTACATTTTTTCTTTTACTAGTCCTGTGGACTAATGAACTAAAATGGTTAGTGTCTAACCCTGGCATACCATTAGTTTCGGCATACGTATTCGGCTTTTTCCACTGCGATCCGCAGTGTTGATCTGTCGATTTGATCAACTCGTCTCTCCGTCTTCGTTATAGTCCCTTGGACTTTTAATGACTATTATTTATGAGGTTACGTATTTATACCGTTATAGTACAATTCTAACTTCTATTCGTAACCGAGGTCGCACGTTTAATGATCGCGTATTAGAAAACATGTCAGGTTCAAGGGAAGACGCCAATCCGTAATGATGGGTGTCACGGCCAAACTTTTCTTTGTTTTTTGATAATGTTTAAAATTGTTTTGATAATGTCGGCCGATAACTGGCGTTGTCTGGTAGAGTGACAACACGAGAGTAGGCTGCTCACCACGGGTTGGTCACTGGCTCCTTTTTGGCCTCCGTGCTTTGACGTGAGTACAACAACGCATAGGCAGCTACGTGTCTAGACATGTAGTTACACCAAAGTTTACTTGTTATAGCTTAGGACGACGATTTAATATAGCCGAGGAGACGCGCTGAGGTCTATTAAATCGCAATCTGTTTTCAAGGGTGAACGGAGTTCGTAACTGTGAACGAATATTGTGAATCAAAGAGCTGTAACCAAAGATGAATAAATGTAAGAAATGTACCGACACCCTATGTTACAGCATTGTGTCTATCCGCGTGCATTCGTCGAACCGACTGCTATAATGGGTTTTCGATTGGGTTTGGGTTTGGACCTGGCTATGGATGTAAATACATTAGGGTTAGGGTTAGAGAGTGATGGTGATGCTGGGTTATGTACCGGGTTTCCGCTTGAGTTTGGGTTGGGTTGTGGATGTGGTTGCATTAGGATTAGGGGTTAGGGATAGAGTGATGAATATGCTGATATGTACTGCCTACTGGGTTCCGCAAGTAGGACTGCAAACTGCTGGACTGTGGGAACGGGTGTTTGGCAATTTACGTATAATATATACTGACTAATGTGTATCTTAACACTGCCATTATAGTACACAAATATCAATTGCATGCCTAATTTCGAACCCCGTTCTAACCCTAACTCGCACCCAACCCTAACCCTCACCCTAACCACAACCCTCACCCTAACTACAACCCTAACCCTCGCCTTACCGCTAACTCTGATCCCTCTCTACAACCCTAACCCTAGCCCACACCCTAACCCTAACCCCCGACCCCGACCCTCACCCTAACCTCAAACCTAACACTAACCCTAACACTAATGCTCACCCTAACCCTGCGTTCTTCTTCCTTCAGCTACATCCATCACACGATCAGCGATAACCAGATCTACATGCAGATCAACCCGGGCTCGTTGACGACGATGCCGCAGCATCCGTCACACGTAACCCTGACGATCGAATCGACGAGCCGGGACGACGAGAAGAAGAGGGAGGTGAAGCGCTTCATCTGCAACTACGAGGGATGCACGCGCACGTACACGACCGCCGGCAACCTGCGCACCCACACCAAGACGCACAAGGGTATGTCCGTCCATACTGATACGTATGTACATCCGTCTGGACTGTGTCCGTCTGTACATCCATGCGTTCAGACCGTCGGTCCGTCCATCCATCCGTCCACCCGTCCGCATCCTGCTGATCGTCTGTCTGGTCGTGAATTTCTAATCTCGGGTCTCTGGGTGTATACAGTATGCGTACTGTGCGGGAACTAACACGTGCGGTGTTACATGGTTCGTTTGGGGCGTGTCTGTCTCGCCATTCGTATTTCCAGTTTACACGATTAATGTTTGTTTAAATCTAGAGTTTTATCTAAAGCTTTATCTAGAGTTAGTGGAAAGTTTCGTCGGTACATGAGTGACCGCGATTTAATTTTAGTAAGTGGTACCTAGGATAGCTGCCCTGGTAGCGTTGCTTGTTACGTTGTAACGTTAGACTAGCACTTTTAATTAAGAATTGTATCATTTTACTGCACTGACGGTGAGGAGCTTGCAAGCTTCAAGTTGACATATATATCTGTTACAAATGTACCGTCTTTAAACTGATAAATAAATAAAAAATAAATGAGCGGAGTTGGGCGATGCGTCGAGCGTTCGATCGATTCTCGCGGCGAGGACTAACAGTAACACTCGGAAAGTTTTACGCGTGTGTTTCGCCACATAAGCTTTGCATGTATGTTTTGGCTGATGTCAATATGTACATTAGTTTTATAATTCATGTTTCGGCTTACATTGTTACATTAGTTTTCACATATTTGTTTTGGCTGATACGAATGAATACGTTATTTTTTCCAAGTATGTTTCGGCTAACGTTGTCATATTAGTTGTACGTAACCTATTTGTTTTGGCTGATATCGGTACATTGTAGTTTTACGCGTGTATGTTTGGTCGCTGATAGCAGCATGCTACTGCTAGTTCATACATTTTTACGTGAATTTTACGCGTAAATCTCCCTCTGGCGATGTCTGCGTGCATGCATTCGCACGTTAGTGCATGTGCATTAGTTTTACATGTACGTTTATGCAGGCGATATATATATACACGTCAGTCTTACATGTATGCTCATGCAGGCTATA